TATTTTCGTACGATACGTGAAAAAGATTTGGTATATTGGCAAATTAGCAAATGGAGCAATTTTTTTTGATGAGAAATAGAATCGACGGAGTAATTTTACTTACATATAAAGAAATTTTGATTATAAATAAATTATTTGCTTAAAATAAATCGAAATGCTAAATATATATCAGATATCTATAATATAGACTGGAGTAGGTAAACTTCCCAATGAAGCAGTGGAGTGGAGCAGACAACAACAATCTCCCAATGGATCACCATTTTTTTGCGTAATGTACGTACGTACATATTTACCCTGTATAAAATACTTTATATTGTACACACCTACCATTAATGGGTATAGATCATCGTTTCGGAGAAAATTCTCATTTCTATCGGAAGTTTTTAATACAGCAATATACTTGCGTTATTTCAAAGTCGTTTGTAAAAGACCATTTTAAGTATATATGTTTCAATTGTGGTGCATCAAATTTTAACTTTGCGTAAATATTTAGAGCTAGTATAGGGGGATACATATTGCATAAATAATACGCTTCAAAACTTGAATATTCCTGTTTTCAATTTATAGTCAACGAACACTCTATCAACATTGTGTAAATTTTTAGCTACCTGCTAAAGGTCGTACTGTAATTTACATATGTTTTTAACCGTTCACTATCGATCTCATATTTTTTCATTTCTTTTATCTGTGTAAAAATATTTTAATTAATGCCATCTCGAAAACAATCACTATGCTACAGTATATTACATGAGGACACTAAGAAGTATGCACGTATGTAAAATGAAGAAGAGTTAACTCAGTGATCATCACAACATCACATGACAAGTGTTCGGCCTAAGTTAGGGTTAGGTTAGGGTTAGAGTTAGGGTATATTAGGCCAGTTTGTTTTAATTCTGGTAAACAAATTACGTCATTATATGTTTATCATGTGATCGTCGATCACTGAGTTAACTGTTCTTCAAGTGTCCCGTAAAAGGCATATTCATCAGGTATATAAGTTTTTATATTTTGTTAGCATATATAAAAATGGAAAACCACGATTACAAAATTCAAATTCCACGTACTGTACGTACGAGATTATTAGGCGTGAATTACGTATAGACGAAGACTTATCATTTAGTTACGCCTTAGATACGCCTTATATAAAAGTTACTTCAAATCGGTTTATGAAGGCCGTAACTAGTGAAGTAATATATATATATCGTGCCACACTAGAGTTAATACCTCTATCCGGATTTATATATCCGGATATATACTATGTCATGTGATATAACGTGACATAATGTTTTTATATCCGGATATAAGTAAATCCGGAATTAAATTTATATCCGGATTAATCCGGATATAAAAAATATATGATTGAGGTATTAACTCTATGCCACACTAATATGCTGTTTAAGTTATCTGTATAAGTAATTCGTGTAACTGTGGATTTTGCTACAACATGCAGCAGTAAAAAATTTAATATAAGATGACAGGCAATTATGAAGATTTACACTGTATTACGAATTAATGATTATGTAACGACTGTTTAATGTTTGTTTACAGAACTTATATAGAAAACCAAGCATCGCCCAAAAATCGGTTATGTTTTAAACACCGTAGATGTTTATTTTCCCCTGCTTGGGTAGTTTCAAGAAGAGTGAACCCAGTGATATCTTCGTGATAATCACATTACAGGATTAAGCACTCGGCCTAAGTTAGGGTTAGTGTTAGGGTTAGGTGATAGTATTTTTTAGGCCAAATTCGTTGGTGCTAGTAAACAAATGACATCATTCCATGATTTCACATAATGGGTTCATTCTTCTTTAAGTGTCCCGATGTTTATGACCATGCGATATTTTTTCCTATGATATTTTAGCATGTATTATTACGTAATCTCGTTCAAAAAATATCAAGGCAAAACAATTTTCACTTATTCATATAAAATGTCGGATAATAGTTGTTGCCGAACGGATCTTATAATTTTCTCGACAAATTTCCCGACAATGTCAAAATCCTGACAAGTTTGCCCGCATTATGGTCAGTTCTGGTCTGGATTTTGTTTTTAGGGAATGTGAGTGATAGAGACCCGTTGCCGAAATCCTTTATTAAACATAGGTGGCGAACAAAAAATGCGCGGCAGATCCTCACTAACGGCCGAGGATATTCAAAATTTTGGCCCACATTACATAATTGCTTACTAGTTTCCGGCCGGAATTAGCTTTTTGATTTTTTCATTACAAAAATAAAAATCTTTTAAAAAAATAAGCACACATTATGGTAAAATTGGCCCATGAACAATTTTCACTTAATGGGCGGTTGCGTTCGTAAAAATTATGAATAATTCCGGCCTAAGTTTTTCTTACCAATCAAAATCGAAGATCTGCCACTAGGTTCAATAAAACAATTCGTTAAACCGTTCAAACAAGTTTCTTTGATGAGTGACATAGTAATGCCGCAAATATTTGGTGGAGCCGTGATCTCCGGGCCAAATCGGAGGAAAGTGTCTTGAAAATTATTTCTCAACCCATTAATATTTAGATCTCAATAATAATTTTCTGACGCTTTTCATTCCGATTCGTCTCGGAGATCACGGTAATTTTGCGCCATTACTATGTCGACCCCGGTAACTCTTGTAAATAATTTTAGCTTCGTTTTTCCTTATTAAGGATGAATTCAAAAGATGCGATTAACTACCGGTTAGCATAATTCATTAATTTATCTTAAAACTACCGGACACTGCTTGTTAAAATAAGGTATGCTTTATAAAACTCGCGATCTTTAATCATAGGGCAACTTCGCAATGCCCCATGTAACAATGATGATAATATCTCGAAATAGGGCTGGATTTAGCATGAGGTAAAGCCATATAAAGTTGATTTTTCGTTTTGCATGACCTGATGTTCTAAAATCCCGGCCGTTCAGTTTTTTTTTCTATTAATTGATTGTAAAATAATAGACTCATGTTTAAATCTAAGGCCGTTCAAAGTTAATTTTCACTTTCATAACATGGAATCAGATTTTTTCTTTTTTTTTTCTATCCGGCAATTCCGAAAATTAAGGCCTCCGTCTGGTGACACCGGATATATTTATGAAAAAATAAAGTAAAAAATAAATAGTCAAATTGAATAAATGGATGGAACAATTGGTACTGTAGTTAATATATATATATATGTGAAGATGGGTCGACGTGTTGTGTAAAATGAAAAATTAACTTTGCGTATTTCTAATTTACAGCATAAGATTTAAATACAAAGTGTTCTTTCCTGTAATAAATAATATTCATATTACACCCCTGCTAATTAATTATAACCCGTTAGAAAGTATATAAATGTGGTCTAGATTACGTAGAATGAAAATGATTACAAGGAATAATATTCACTAATATCATAGCTTTAAATAATTTTACTGATATTATGGCTTTGAATAATCTATACGTATAGAACTAAAGTTATACCGATAATAAAAATTGACTAAAAATTTGATGCTGAATTTCAATTATACCAGTCATTTGATAATATTGTCCAAAAGTGATAATTACCACTAATACGCAATGGCGAAGTATTATACATTATTATCATTTTTACGTCGTACTAAAATTTTTTAGTTGGATTGATCAATACTGTAGTCTTGTTTTAAATTTTCTCTATTATTCCATTTTACCTGTATAATTTAAATCTTTGAGGTTTAATGTTTCTTTAAATTGTACAGTACATGTACATAAATACGTAGCAAATTAGACAATGATGACTTATCAGCATTCTTGTTATAAAATACATGGTGAAATATATACATAAAATTTAAACTTGGATTTTACGCAGCATGTACCAAATATTTTTTAGAGCTATACTTACCAAAATTTCGCTGTTACATTAAGGATAGGTTTTGTTATTGAATTAAGTTAGGAAGAGCTTTACTAATACCAATAATTCGCAAGAAAGCTTTTGTTAGTAGGCAGTTTCATAGGAAAATGTTGTGAACAATTTTTGTTCCTTTTGTATTACATCTAATATTGAAGTCTGACTGGGCAGCAAAATTTTGGTGTTGTTATATTAAGCGGTTAATATCTCGTCCGAATTAATGCTGTACTGTAAGCTTTAGTGACAATCAACTAAACAGTCATATATATTGCTTCAGATTACGAATTACAGGAACTTAAATTCCTTATGAGATTATTAACTGCAGAACTGGTTAGATGATTCAAAAAATATATGTCAGTTGTATCTATCGCTATAACAAATTATCATTACAAGCACATGAAGGGTTTGGTGGATTTCATCGACGGCAATATCACCTATAGCTAACTGCAAAGCAAGACAACCTGACTTCCAAATTTGTCGACAAAGTAGCAGTTGGTGAAATGGTTGTCGGCAAAATTGGCTCATACTAAGCATGGGTGATCGAAGCTATCAAATCTGGATACTAGATATTTAAGAAATTGCCAAACTACGATAAAATTGTATTGCATTATTTTGTTATTAGATAACCACCTTTTTTTTTAATCGTAGCTATTCCAGGTCATTCGCAGAATTTTCCCGACACAACTAAAATTAGGTGTAACAGAAGACTTTGGCTTTCAAATTCATAGTTTACTGAACTCAATAATTTATACAGATTTTTCAAGGAATGGGATCTGGTAAGTCGTAAATTTAAAGCTCTTCCCTAGCGTCAACAATAGTAGTTTATTTTTATTTATGATAAGTGAAAATTACTGATTCTAAAATAGTAAATATTCAATATTTTCAGGAAAAACAAACATTGTAAATTCATTTAACATGTAAATATAAATACAAATAAGCTGAAACTATCAAAGTAAATATGACACTAAATCAGATTTAATCACGAATAGGATAATTGAGTCAACTATACAATTTTAAAGGGTAAGAAAAAATTCTTGATACAGTATTTAAAGTCACGTAGGTGATGAAGTAGCCTTATTATTAAATAGAAGTTACTGATGTGATTAAATGTACTCCTTTAAGAATTCAGCTTTGCATTTAACACCAGAAAATGTTTGTTTAATATAAATTAAAATGGTTATTTTGCATAAAATAGCCAGTGTTATCAGTATGAGTTTGATAAAGTAAAGGAATGATTTCTTGAGGAGTGTGGATGTTTTGGAATTCATCGTAAGAATTGGAATAAAAAGTATGGTTATTATCTGGAAAAGTCAATGTGTGACCCTGCACGATGTTGGGAGTTACAGAGTGTGGCATAAATCTTCCATCAAAGTTAATATCAGAATTATTAAGAACATAATTCCATTGTTTTCTTGGCTTTGGTCCGCGTGTTTTACCCGAATTAATAAAAGTACATTCAAGATTTCGCGACATGCAATATTTACAAGTTGCTTTTCCGGTGCATTTTACATGTTTCTGTTGGCAATTTGTGCATGCCTTAGTTACATAAGGTCCTCGTTGTTGTCGTTGACATAATATTGGCATGACTAATCAATGTTTTTATAAGTAGTATGCTTATATACTATGTAGATATTATAATTTTTTTTAATAAAATCCAAAACGGCATATATTTATACTTAATAGAAAGCGCGTATTTGGAGTAGCAAAATTCATCTTCCATAACTATATTAGGGCATTAAAATCCCTTCCCTGTCTCACGTGCAGTCTCTGAGGAACCTAACCTTAATTTAGTTACCTGATTACCCAAAACCTAAACCGTACTTCCTATTTGCGATTAATAGAATAACCTATATATAAAAAAAAAAAATTTTTTCATGCATATATGTACACAAAAATATAATATGATTGAAGAATAATAATGGATATAGTAAACACCTCATAGACAGACATTCGTATGATTGGCTGTTTAAATCAATTTAATTTTACATTATTTATACAGTTTAAAGTACTTTTTAAAAAA